TCCTCGCTGCTCCTGCCTGCTCCTGCTCCTGCTCCTGCTCCTGCTCCTGCTCCTGATCCTGCTCCTCCTGCTCCTTCTCCTGCGCCTGCTGCTGCTGCTGCTGCTGCTGCTGCTCCTGCTCCTCGCCCTCTCTGTGCGCATCTTTGCCACAGCATTGATGACGAGCACCCACCCCACCCCTACCCCCCATAAAACCATATGATACATACCCCTGCATTCATCGGAAATTTGGTAGATCAGAGTAGGTACTCTGTACCTCCCTACCCCTCTGAAATCCTTCCCAAATTCTAGACTTATTTCAATTATGAGCAAGAAATATTCAAAGTTAATTTCAAATATTTAGACATAATTTTGAAGTTCCAAATTTGTATGGGCTGGCCGGCGGTCAAATGGCGGTAAGTTTGTACGTTGTTCACTCATTCCTGATCTGCTGACCAACAACTCAACACTAACTGATCAGAAACATATGCTATGAGGTTGTAGTTGAGCTCCTGATGTTTGTAGGCACCAAGTGAAGGGAGATTGAGAGAATATCAGGGCAAGGAGTACGATAGAAAACGACGACTTTACTCAACACTCAAGTGAAAATCCACAAGCTCGGAAATGAGTTCTTCCATCTCAGGATTTTTGATCATTTCTTCAAAGATTGAACTTCCTCTATTATGTCGAGCATATCTTACTTTTGTCAGGGGATCAGGTGGACCTAACCAAACCAAGATTGCAGGAGGAGAGAAACCAATTATTCCAACAACGGCTCCGAATCATTCTTCCCCCCCCTTTTGCAACTTTGTACAACTTGGATGTGTTCCCTCGGCTTGCCATTCTCGAAGAAGTTGTGCTTGACAAGCTGAATGTCAGGGCAGACTTGCTCGTCGACAAGGACAAGGTCATACAAGTCCTCTTTTCCGACCCTGCAGCTATGTTTGTTCCCTAGCTTAGCATGAAGCCCTCGCACATGACACTGATCCGAGTCCCAAACAACTTCGCAACATCCCAATTCCTCTTCTTCGTCGAAGATGGCTGTGACAGTTCCCTCCCCATGGGAAATCAAACCAGGGGCCATCCTTACGCGCATCCCAACTTGGCATGGTACATCCTTTCCAACATACAAAAGCTCTCCTTCCTCATAAGACTCTCTCACCTGCAACACAGCTAAGAGTCAGCGCATTCTCCTCCGAAAGAAACCAAGACAAATTAGCGCAAATCTTTCTAACCGGGGGGCAAACAGGCATGGATGCCCTCTCTGCAGGAGATATCTCATGAGGCTGTCTGCGCTCCTCTAGAGCTTCATCGTGGTCGGACTTTGCCTTTGCAAGACAGATGCTTCCCACCGCTGCGGCGCCCGCAACGATGCATACGGGTCAGAAAGGCCGCCCGCCACCGCCCATTCTAGTTTGTGAAGAGCACCCTGATGTGTGGGTGGGGTACCGAGATGTCAAAGGGGTGGTTTGTGTAGCTGACCACTGGGAAATAGGGGGGTACAAGGGTAGCAAGGTCCTAAACACGCTTGGAGGAGGACAAGGGTAGAGGTTGGGGAGGTGGGGTGATCGCCTTACCTTGAACCGGTGGTTGATTGTGGAAAAGACTTCTATGAATACGGTAGGGTACTCCTCATCAAGAAAGATTCAAAGGGGTGGGTGGTACGGGATGGGGCTATGACCACGTATGATGGTAAACCTGAGTAAACCACGTATGATGGTCGACCACAAACTTCACGTGTCCAATGCAGTGCAGATGCCGCAGATGCCAGTGTCCATGCTTAGTATGGTTGCCCCGTCCCTATGCTTGTCTCCATGCGACGGCGCTTGTACAGGAGAACATGGGAGGAAACGAAGAGAAGCAGAGGAGAGCAGAAGATATGAGGAGAAGGTTGAGCAGAGTAGAAGGAGAAGAGCAGTGCAGAGAAGGGCACATTTTTGTAGCTGGCGTTTCGTGACTTCTGGGTACAGGTCCGAGGTTGTCGAAGATGAAGTGGAAGAAACCGAAGAAAGAAGGGTCGGTGGGAGAGGATGGCGAAGCTGCTAAGCCGAAGAAAAAGATGGCGAAGAGGCAAGAGCGTAAAGTCACTACAACGCCGCAGCAGGACTTGATCTCCTCTCAAGTGGTCGCCCTGCAGAGACTGACACAGGCTGGGCCGAAACGGATCGGCCCGTAAGTGTTGTGAACGATTGCTGCGGAGAGTGATGTCGGGAGCAGGTACTCGAGGAACCACAAGATCCTTCTGGTCGGAGAAGGGGATTTCAGTTTTTCCTTGGCCCTGGCTTCAAACCTCGGCGGCGAAAACCTTGTTTGCACCTCCCTTGACAAGCTGACGCAGCTCCAGGTGAACGAGTGTGTCTGAGAGTAGCGCTCACCTCGATGCTCTTGCAGGTCAAGTACGAGGGCAAAGTGAACGGGGCCCTTGGAACCCTACAGAGCTTGCGGGCAGAGATTCATCACAACGTCGATGCCACTGTCAGCACTTGCTCTCACCTGACTACCCGCATTGACAAGAGGCTGCAGACGCTGAGTGATTATGAGTTCACACACTTGCCCGACGGCTCCCTGCGCAAGTTTGATAGGATCGTCTTCAATGTGCGGATGTGCTCCTGTGTCGAGCTGCGGGTTGACAAGAGGTCTTTCAGTTCCCGTGTGTCGGGTTGTTGGAGGAGCAGCAGAAGCAGGCAATGGAGGTTTGTTGCAGCCTGACACTCGACAGCGGGTTGACTTTCACGGCTCTCAGGAGAACATGCAGAAGAAACTGCAAAGAAGAGGAATTCGGAAAAAGGAAGAACCGGAGAAAAAGAAGGTTGACACAACGCTTCTTCTTGCCCCAGTCTTACCATCCGCCCCCCAGCCAGATGGAAAGCACGATATCAAGAAAAGCCAAGAGATGGCGAAGGAGAAACGGGATATCAAGGACCGGAAGCTGCACTCAGACAAGCAATTGATCGAGGTAACCACAACGATAGGAGGGGAAAGAAGGTCAGGAGATGATCTGCACCTCCAGGGCTTTCTCAAGAGCGCATGCGAATTGCTCGAGGACGAGAGCAGCGAGATCCATATGAGGATCCGCGACGCTACGGTGAGACGTGGAGCAGCAGATCGCAGTCATGGCGAGAGGACTGATATTGTACGTGTTCCCAGCTCAGTGTGGTGGACGTGGATGACCTCGTAGGCGAAGCTGCGGTCCACTGTGTAGACCAGCATGATTTCCATCCAGCGCAGTTTTCAGGGTAAGTGGTTTTGCTAGAGCAGCTAGAGGAGCGTCCTGCGGTGAACCATGATCAGGTACAAGCCCCAGCAGACTCATCCGAATGGGAAGGGACTGCAGCCGCTCACTCCAGCAACGACTCTGATGTACCTGCCTTTCTTCCTTTTGAACTCTCTGACATGCAGACAAAAGATTCCGAAGAAAATCCTCCGAAGACGAGGATCACCATGAAGGTCCTGCATGACCAACCCCCCTGAGTGTGTCGCTGATCTCCTTGCCAGCAGAAAGCAATGAGGGCAAAGTGAGTAGCACAAAGAAGAAGAACAAGAAGAAGAACAAGAAGAGAAAGCGAATCGACGACGACGATTTCTTCGACGATGCTCCTGGTCTCTATTCACAACATTCATTCTTCGCTAAACCATCATGACAGGTGTTCGACCACAGAGCGAGGCACATGCGCAGGCTCTCCGTGCATGTGCATTCCTCCTAGGACGATAAAACCATGCGCTCACTGTCGAATAAAATCACCTTTCCCTTCTTATTGCCTAAAACGTCAAGTCGGGGACGAGGGGGTGGGTAGTGGTACAGAAAGAGTGGTAGGTGGGTTATGTAGGTAGAGACTGGGGGTTTATCTTAATGATAGGGTAGGTGGTGCTGATATAGATGGGGGGTGGGGTGAAAGAAGTTTGAGTTTGACTAGACACTACGAGCATGCCGAAACAAGAAATGCAGGAGACCGGGAGGGAGAAGGAGAGGGAGAAGGAGAGGGAGAGAAGGAGAGGCAGAAGGAGGGAATCAAGAAGGAGAGGGAAAGAAAGAAGAAGAAAGAGATGCAGAGCGAGAGGAGAAGGAGGAAGAGTCAGGGAAGGAGAGGGAGAGGGGAAGGAGGAACGGGAGACGAGGGAGGTGTAAAACAAAGAAGAATAAAGTTTGACGTCGGGGCAACTTACCGCTACTACAGGTCATCACCTTGAGGCCGAAGATGGAGGACAGCGCGTCACCAGCTCACCTGACGTTGCACTCACAAGATCATTCGAAAGATTCTCATTGCAACGAGATAACAGCCGGTTTGACGTTCGACCAGAATGATTCGCAAGACTCCAACCGCAGGCCGAATGAAAGTGATTTCCTCATGGCGATGGAGTCGATGGAAGGCAACGCACCACATGCTCCGTCAGAGCAGAAGTCTACCTTGAGCGCTGACTTGCGTGCAAACCACCATGTCGAATCTGCCACGAAAGATCCCAATGCCACAGCGACAAAGCTTGTGAACCTTTCAAGGGCAAGTGGAATGTCAGTGTACTCACTAACACCATTGCGATCGGACGATTTCTCCAACCTGGAGGAATCTTTGCAAGAGCAAGGGAGTTTTCCTGATAGCATCGACGAGTATTGCCCTTCACACGAGTTGGACTTCTCGGGGATCTCGCTGGGAGAGAAGAGAGGCGGAGAAGGGGAAGGAGGAGAATCGAACCACGTCGCAAACGAGATGGACCTGTCCAACATATCTTTGTCGGAATGCAAGAAGCTGCTGGTTCAGAGTGCGGAGCTACTGAGTTTGGAACGGAAGGAGAAGTGAGGAAAACGATGCTTTTGTCCTCAGTTGACACCCTTGGCAAACAGGGAGGAAGCGACGCTTGCGCTTGCTGAGCTCCGAGACGAGCTCATGTCGCGTCAGAAGCAGTAAGTTGACGGCAAGGGAGAGAAAGGGGAGAGGGAGGACGGCAGAGAGCGAGAACCGTTCAGCAAGAAGGGGGAGGGATACACGGTCCATCTCAAACTTCATAAACAGATTGCGGCTGGGGCAGCCTGGCGATGCGTCGCAGATGCAGACAGGAGGGGGTGAAAGTCGAAGAGGAGCAGGGCCATTGTGAAATGGATTGACAGGGGAGGAGGAGACAGAGCAGGAGCGAGCGAGCGGAGCAGGGATAGAAGGAGGGGCGGAAGAGATCGAAAAAGACGTTTCAAAAATGGTGAGTTGGAATTGGCAACGGAGATGACTTGCTGATCACCCTGTAGGTCATGAAGGAGCTCAAAGTAATAGGAGGAGGAGGAGGAGGAGGAGGAGGAGGAGGAGGAACAAAGGTCCCTGATGAAGCATGATGGCAGGAGATGATTGGATTTGTCGAGATGGAGCTCGAGCTTTGTCAAGAGGTCCCTCGTACTCCACCATCGTCATCTCCTTCCCCGCTGCACTTCCTCTCTCTTTGTCTTCTCCTTCTCTCTCCTTTTCCTCGTCTTCCTCTCTTCTCCTCTACTCAAGCTTTCCATGATCGCTCTCACTGATTCTCCATTCTCAGAGCAAGAGGCCGGAAGTGGTTCCTCCCCTGTGGAAAGGGTAAGGAAGCGATCTGCTTCGACGTTTCTGAGCGGGGCGAGCAGGAGAGAAGGGGGAGAAGGAGAGGGAAACTTTCGGCTGCTACTTGATCAGCTCTGGCGCATCCTCCGCCTGTGCGTGTCTGTGGTAAGTTCATCTTTCGCGGTCCGTTGATGAGCGAAGAGGAGGAGAAGGAGAAGGACAGGTTGTTGATTCTGCGGGTGTGCAGATTCCAAGCACTAGAGAATGTCCTATGATCATGGAGATCTTCAGGTATAGACCTCCTCCTCCTCGTCCTCCTCCTCCTTCTACTCCTCCTCCTCCTCCTCCTCCTCCTCTTGCACTTGATCTTCGATACCCTCCTTCACACACACACACACACACACACACACACACACACACACACACACACACACACACACACACACACGATCCCCCCACCCCTACCCTTGCTCTTTCCACGAGTTGCTGAGGGTCCCACAGACATCAGGCCATGGCTTCGCCTGCTTTCCTCCCACCGCCTTCTCTGTGCTCTCAGTCGAAAGACGTAAGAGCTGGGGATGAGCTCGGCCTGCCTGACCTCGCGCAGGGAAACAGCGAAACTTCCTTCGAGGGGGAACTTGCGCCGCTAGAGAAAATCAGCCTGGTGGAAAAGAACGCTCTTGATCATCCTCCTCCTGGACCCCTTCTCCTTGCTAGTCCCCTGCCTCCTCCTCCTCCTTCTCTGCATCACCTCCCTACTTCTCCTCCTCGTCTCTCTCCTCTTTGGTCTTTCTGCCCCTCGCATTTTCTGTTTCTGCTGCAGGATTCTCTTCCCTGACTTCCTCCGTCGTCCCTCCACCTCTTCTTTCCTCCGTCATTTCTTGCCCAGGTCCAGCAGAGGATCATGAACTTGTCCCGGAGCCTCCACAAGGACGGACAGTCAAGCCAGGATATTCCTCGTGATGGTGAGGAGGAGGAGAGGATGGAGGGAGTCGAGGGCAGCAGGAGAAGGAAAGGAACGAGAGGAGGCGGTCGTCGATATTGACGTGACCTCTGCTGTGCTTCAGGAGATGATGAGCTACTGGTGGAGGGCGAGTCGCCCGGCCTGCTGGACATGTCGAACGAGACTGAGAGCAGGGAAAGGCGGAAGGGAAACTCCCGAGAGATGCAGGGCCGGGAGTTGGGAGGCCGGGAGGAAAGAGGCCAGTACGCAGGGGAGGACCAGATCCCAGCATGGAGAGAGGAGGAGGATATGCAATCAGAATCTCGCAAGTCCTCACGATCCGAATCGCATGTCCGCTTCTCGCCTCCTACCATCCTGACGCCCAAGAACCTTCCCGACAGATCGAGGATCAGGAGCGTTAGCTCCATCAGTATGGAAGACGTGTCGCTGGTTAGTGAGAGGAGGAGGAGGAGGAGGAGGAGAAACAGGAGAAAACAGGAGGGGAGGAGTTGAGTATGGGGAAATGGAGAGAAGCGAGAGGAGAGCAAGGGTTCTTGCAGATGAAGCTGGAGAAGAAAGGAGGAGGACGAGAAGGAGGAGGACAGGAGGAGGAGGAGGAAAAGCAGGAGGGCGAGTAAGTTGGGGCCGCAGGCAGCGAGCGGGAAGATCACACTGGAGGATGCGATCTCTTTAATCTCAAAGGGGATGAAGACGAAGCCAAAAGTGAAGTCTTGCCTATCAGAGGGGAACTCAATGCATACAAGAGGTGAAGTTCTTCTTCCCTTCCCTTCCCTTCCCTTCCCTTCCTCTTCCCCTCCCTTCCTCCTCTTCATCCTAGTGCTCCTGATTCCTGCTTTCCCCTTCTTCCACTCTCGCCCCACAACCCTCTGTCAGCCTCGATCCTTCCTATCCTTCCGTATCCTGTTTCATCGTGCTCCTCCTTATCGCCTCTCCTGCCCCGCAGACCTGTCCTCGTTCAAGCGACCTCAACCCGTAGAAGACAAAGCTGTGAGCAGCGCAGGAAAGAAGAAGGAAGAACGAGACAGCAGGCACCTCACCAGCTCTGATCACAGCGCGCGATCACACCAGTCCAAGGTCAACCTTGCTGCTATGCTTCCCCCTCCTCCGCTTCCTCCTGCTCTTCTCCTCCACTGCTCCCCCCTCCTTTGCTCCCCTTTCTTCTCTTTTCTCGAGCTCCTTTGCCCTCTCTCATCTTCTTCCTGTTCAGAAGAAGGCGGATCATGGAAAGAGAATCGCCGAGTCAATACTCCCAGCTTGCAAACTCCTGGCTGAGGTCAGCAAGTTCAGATCCTGCCCTGCCCTCGAGTTATACCATTGTTCTCCTCTCTCGCCTCTACTCCACCCCCTCCCCCTCCCCTTTCCTCTTCTGTTTCCCCCCATCTTCCCTTCTCCCCCCCCCCAATCCCTCCTCACCTCCTCCTCCTTCCACACCTCTTCCTCTCTCCTCTTCCCTCCTCTCCTCTCTCTCATGACGTTCCTGGCAGGCATCCTTGAAGGATGCCGAGGACGCGAGCCCCTCTGCGAGGAGGAGACGGACTACATCCCCCGTCACCTGCCAGAGGGGACCTCTAGGACACACGCATTGCCGTAGCTGGAACAAGAAGATCAGGTCGAACTTTCCTCCTGCCCGTTCTTCCCTCGATGCCTCTCCCCTCTCCTTCCACAGTTCCTTCCCTTCACCATCGCCCGTCCTGTTCGCCCTTCCCTCCCTCCTCATCGACCTTTCCTTTTCACCTCCCCGTGCAGCTCCTACTCCACGAAGCCCATCCTAGAGCTCCATCAGAGCATCTACAACCGCAAGGAGGAGGAGGAAGAAGAAAAGACGGTTCGACTTCCTCCTGTGAGAGCTACGAGTAGCATGACCAGCTGCTTCTTGCAGGTGGTCGAGACGTGGTGGGAAAGGATTGCTGAGGCACGAGATCGAAGGGCAAACATGATTTCGAGGAAGAAGTGAAAGTAAACCAACGATTGAGCTGCCTCCTTCTTCTACGTCTCCGCTCCTTCTCCTCCTCCCAATCCTCTCCGACCCCCTCCTTCTCCACCACCACCTCCTCCTCCTCCTCCCCCTCCCCCTCCCCCTCCACATCTTCTCCAACTTCCTCCCTCATCTCCCTCGCGCGTTACATCGCTTGTTCATTTCCAAGTTTGACGTTCCAAGTTCGACGAGACCGTTGACTCCAAGTTAAGTTCGAAGTTGACTGCGTCACGTCAATTCTGACGGCCTGACTATTTTCTATAACGGTTGAAACGACTGCAAGTAGAGAGTCGCATGTCATGGGATCGAATGGCACGGAGGTCAGGAGGAGAGGAGAGGAGAGGAGAGGAGAGGAGAGGAGAGGAGAGGAGAGGAGAGGAAGAGAGTATAGGAGAGTATAGGAAGGGGGAGATAGCTGTTGAGCAGGTTAGAATAGGGGCCAAGTGACGGGAAGGCACGAACGGGATCGAGAAACTTGAAAGTTGGGGATTTTACCAGTGATACGAGGAGGGATTCATTAGGATAAACCTTGAGTCTTTGCTCTCGTCTAAGATTTTCACTGCTGCTCGCCATCCTGATCTCCTCCTGGCCTTCTTCGTTGTGCTCCTAATTGTCGCCATGGCCGACGATGCGGGATCGGATGAGATCACGCACATCTTATCTGCAGCGGATCTTCATCATGAGGAGCAAGAGGAACAAACGACGGCAAGGAGAGAATTATGCAACACATGCAGGCGGCCTGTGAAAGTGTGTCTCTGCGATGTCCTTCCCAGCCCCAAGTTGTCCTGCATGGCGGACGTGATAGTGTTCCAGAACCCCGAGGAGGCGAAGTCAGCCAAGAGCACGATTCCTCTGCTGGAACTTTGTGTTGAAGGCATGAAAGTTGTCTGCGGGAGGAAATTCAATCATCATGACTTTCCGGAAAGGATTCTTCAAGCCTCCAGCATCTACGAAGACATACAGAAGGGCACTCCCGTTGCTCCCCAGTCCCTATGGCACAGAACGCTTCTGCTATGGCCGACTGCGGAGTCAGAAGACTTGGAAGAAGTTGTCGAGGAGCTTCGAACGCCAAGTTCAGGTGTGACGCCGCATGATTCGACTCAAGAGAGGGTCTTGTTGGTTCTTCTGGATGGTACCTGGCCGGCCTGCGGGCAGATGCTACGGAGATCTGTGAGCTGATTGGATTTATCTGTTGGTTTTACACTCGTTGATTGTCGCTTGCTGTCAACAGAAAGTCCTGCGCCAACTGCGTCATGTCAAGATCAATCCGACAGACGAGAGCATCTATGCCATCCGTATCGAACCACACGAGGAGTGCAGGTGAAGTGATAAGGGATCGGAGGTTCTGTTGTGACATCAGGTCAGGTCTTCGCTTGAGGCTGCAGCAGAGGCCTTGAGGATTCTGGAAGGAGGAGAACGTGGACAGAGGCTCAAGGAAAACCTCCTCTTGCCTCTGCGGAGGATGGTAGAACTGCAATGCTCCTTCATCTCGAATCCGAAACACAAACCAGGGACTAAGAACTACAAGTACTCTGACTCCGTTCTCTTGTACTCCAGCCTCAATCATGTTGGCAGGCCGAATAGATACCCTCCTCATCTCTGCACAGAGCAGCACGTGGGACGACAGGTGGAGGCAGCCAGACGGCGGGACATGAGGTCCAGGCAGCAGGTCGACCACGAACATCCGAGGTCAGAGAAGACGATCCAAGACGACGTTAGCGAGGTCGTGCAGTCCTTTCACAATGTGCGCAAGAACAAAGTGGCTCTGATGTGAGACAAGCTGAGATACTTGCGATCATGCTGAACTGACTGCAAACAGTCAACACCTGGTGCAGCAAGCTCAGACCATCGAGAGGAGTTGGGAGAACTATGAGGTATTCGTTTATCCTCCCCGCTTCCTTCAACTTGACCGCTCGCCGCAAGATGCGTATCAGCCTGCTCGAGGCTTTCCGGGATTGCCTGCTGGATCTCCAGACGGAGGAGGACAAGGATCTGATGGAACTTGCAAGGCTCGGCCCCAAGATGAAGACTTTTGAGTTTCCTCTCTCGTAAGTAAAGGAGGAGGAGGAGGAGGAGGAGGGGGTGAAGGAGGAGAGGAGGAGGAGGAGGACAGGAGGCAGGGTGGGGCTAACGTCGTGCTTCAGGCACTTCCTTGCAATTTCTCTTCCTATCGAGCGGAAGTTCTCTCGAGGGTTGAGAGACCACGAGTTCCTCATAACGACCGACGACGCGCGGATGGAAGGGAGAATAACAAGGGACAACGTCTTTCCCCTCGTCGTCATCCTGGACAATCTCCGCAGCGCCTTCAACGTCGGTAGCATCTTTCGCACTTCAGAGTGCCTTGGCATCGAATCGATTGTGATATGCTCTCGTACGCTGTCTTTTCTTCTCATCATCTGTCAGATCCTCTGCGGATACACGTCCACTCCCGAAGACTCTCAAACCTCCAAGGCTGCGATGGGCATGGATAAGGTTCTTTCTTCTTCATAATGAAAGCAACTAAGTTCTTTCTCGGCTTACAGATTATGCCGTGGAAGTGGATGAAAACAGTCGAGGAAGCGATTGCAGAGATGAAGGCGAGAAATTACACAGTCGTAGCTCTTGAGACTGTTGTTGGCTGTCCAGATATTTCCTCTTTCTCCTTCCCTCGCACTGGCTGCGCTCTTGGTAGGCACACAAGGATGTGGTGGACATTAAGACGTGATTGTTTCTCTTCCAGTGTTGGGGAATGAGAGATACGGGATCGACTCATCCCACGTCTCACTCTGCGATGCAGTGGTGAAGATTCCCTGCAGGTCTTTCCCCCACTACATTGCCGGCTCCTGACACTGCGCAGGGGAATCAAGAACTCCCTCAATGTTGCGTCGGCTTACGGCATCTGTGCATACGAGATTACAAGGCAGTGGAGTACCTCGTAAAGAGCAAGGCTTACATATTCATTGATCGCACCATTAAGTAGGAATACACACAGTTGAATTTGTTTTTTACAATAAACAATCATAATACAGTATATCTGCTTTTTGAGCACGTCCTCTCAACATATTCTTCAATGCTGGAGTTCATTTCATCCCAGATTCGCTCATGAATGTTTTTCAGCATCGATATGTTGTGCCTGACTACATTTCTGTGACTTTCAAGAATGATTGTCTGTTTGAGTTTTTGCTGAGACTTCTGGCGATGTTTGAAAATTTGTTCAGCAGTCTCGTGGATTGCATCTTGCAGCGAGATCCTCATTTTGCTACAGACACGATCTTCAGCTGTGTGAAGGTAAGCCTGAAGGGCATCGCTCGTGACGTTCTCAATCATATCTCGCTTCATCGGAGTCTTTGTGCGAGCAGACGCTAATTGATCATCCTCTTTGTTTGCGTCCTTCTCAGGCTCTGACCTGAGGGCGTCAGCTGCTTGCTTATCAGGATCCTCAATCTCGTTCTGCTCAGTTCTCTGTAGCTCGTCGTCGACCTGCAGAGCACCTGCCTTGCCCGCATGCTTTGCTGGCAACACGTAACTAGCATGACCGGTCGGCTGCCAGCTCAACATGATTTCACTCGCTTCTCGGAATGGTTGACCGCTATCCAGGTGACTTGAGACCATGCTGTCGTGAGAGCCTGGCTTTGCGATCGTATGCAATTTCTTTTCCTGCGGAGAGTGGGAGGTCAGCAAGGTCCTCATGGAGCCAATCAAGATGCGTACATGTGAACTCCTTAGCCATTGCTTGTTATCCTTCAAACCTATCCTGAGATGGAACCTTCCGAAAGGCGTGATGACGGGATCTCTATCCCTCAGAACCTAAGTGTAGACACGAATGCCATCAGCGAACCCAGACAAAGAACGGAGCAGCGCTTGCGATATAGTCTTCCTCACCATCTCTTCTCTTACTCTGGTCAGTTCTGGACTCTCCGTCATCCTCGTCCTCCTCCCCTCGTCTTCATCCTTGGCGTACAGCATGTCGATACGATCGCCTGTCGACCGCAGGCTCATCGCGATGGTTCGACCCTCGTCAAGTCTCCTTCACCCCCTTTCAGTGGCAGTTTCAATAGAGAGGACCCCCGCCAATCAAAGCATTGTCACATGACTACCCCTACTTTGATCTGTTTATCAGTCTAAAAGGGGTGGGTACAAGAAATTTGTTTATGAGCAACGGTGGGGTGGTGCTGGTACACCTGTCCCTCTGTGGAATACAGATTACCCGAGGATCTTATTTTGTACCCGTCCATTGCATTTGATATTTGAGCTGAATATAGGGGTAGGGTGTATACCCCCACCCCTAGATCTCTTCACACCCTGCGATCACCGCGGCGCTCCTCGTGCGATGGCGGCGAGGGAGGTGTTGAAGTGGAGAAATGGATGGAAGAGAGGAGAGAAACGAAGGATAAATGATGTGTGTTCGATGTAGCGGTAGTTGATATCCCTCTTTCTCACAGAGGCAAGATAGAAATCCTGAAGATGGGCCCGAGTGAGGCATGCATCGAGGGAACGTCGTTACTAGCAATAGAGCATGATTGCGTTGTTCTTCGTTTCCTCTTTTCGGACAAGTTCACCTGATGATTATTTTTTTATTGTTTCCTTCATATTGACGAACTGTTGACAGCAAGCTTGAGTCGATTTCTGCTGTATTGAAGTCAAAACATGGTGAGAGGCTCCATCTTGGTGCTCGTCGTGTTAATTGGCATCTCAGGCTGAAGAAGAATCTGGTATTGGCGAGCAGCAGGAACAACAGGAACAGCAAGAACAACATCATTCTGAACAACAGGAAGTTTACTCCGATGCAGACGTATTCATCATTGCTTAATGCAAACTAGTGCAACCTGACGGTTAATGGTCCATTAGGGGCACGACCAGAGTGGTCAAATGCAGTCGTCTGATGACTCTGGATTTGCGAGAGGGTAAGTTTTATGCAGATTGTATCTATCCATGACTGATTAACTTTATGTAGAAAAATCTTCATCGGTGGATTACCTACAGAGACCACTGATTTTGATCTCAAAAATTATTTCGTGAGATTTGGTGTCCTGGCCGATGTTGTAGTGATGAAAGGTACGTCTCTTGCTCTGTATCTTTGGGATGGCAATATGAAATCTGAGAGATTGACTTTTTGTAAACGTTCTACATTTCTGACACTGGTGTTATGAAGATAAGCTCACTGGGAATGGAAGAGGTTTCGGGTTTGTGACTTTTGAAGATCCTGAAGGTGTGTGATTCTCCACATTTGCCCGATCTATTCCATCTTATCATGGGGGGCTGGGGATCTCTTTTTGCTTGTTCTCTTTTCGTCTTTTCCCCAGAATGCAAGGCGACGACTCGTTTTAATTCGATACTTGCTCCAGTTGCAGAAAAAGTTGTAGCAGCAAGGCACACTATCAGGGGCAGATCGGTAGGTCAAATTTATATAGTCACGGTGTCAACTACAGTACAATGCGGCGTTGAATTGCAAGGAGAACTTAGAACAAGCAATTTAGTATCCGATAGCCATGCAGAGAACAATTGTCTACGACTAGGACTCGACAGCCATTTGAACGGACCCAAGAAAGATGCAGAAAAACAGGCCGTGCAAATTCTATCAAAATACAATAGTAGCCGTTGTGAAGCAAATAGATATCTTGTTGCTTTGAAAGAGAAGTTTGGTGGTTGGACATATTCCTCTTAGCTAATTTTGATGTAGGTTGAAGCCAAACTTGCCATCCCTCGTGGTGAGGCTCCTGGACCTCGATCCGATCCAAGCGATCGAGTAACAAAGATTTTTGTTGGAGGGTATGGTCATTTGGAATCAGATCAATTTGAGATGAATTTAACTTTGACCTTCAGCTTGGCAAGCACTGTCTCCGAAGCCGATTTCAAGAATTACTTCTCAAGATGGGGCAAAATCATGGATGCTCAGATCATGGTCGATCACAATACGAAGAGGTGGAATGAAATAGCAAATTTCTAAGAGGAATTTTGCCTGATATTTGAACACCATAGGAGTCGTGGATTCGGCTTCATCACCTTTGAGTCGTACAAATCTGTAGAGGATGTGATTCGCATTCGTAATCATGAGATTAAGGTATTCATGTTTCTTTTCTGACCTGGGTAACGTTGATTCAGGGCAAACCGATCGACATCAAGAAGGCGTTTCCGAAAGGACACTTTGCGATCTCCGTACGTGATATGGCATCTTGAGGTTTCCTCCAAGTCACTTCACTTCCAGTCCATGCGTGGTGGTGGAGGCTTCCGTGGAAGGGATGATTACAGGGACGGTGGAAGAGGAGGATCTTCTATGTTCGATTCGAGGATGATGCAAATGTACCAAATGATGATGATGGCCTCCGGGATGGGAGGTAAGATCATTGCCTGTCAACTTGCTTGTGTTGTTCTGAAAGCAGTTTTCTACAAGGCTTTGGCGACATGATGCGTGGAGATCGTGGCTTTAGAGGCGGAGGCGGAGGAGGAAGAGGATTTGATCGTTCCTCTTGGGGAGGCATGAGGGATGAATTCCCATCCTTTGATATGCCAGCAGGTGAACAATCTCTTTGACTTATGTAGTACTTCTCACGGGTTTTTGTCAGAGGGCGGGCGAGACTGGGGAGACAACTTCTCTGCTTATCCTCCTGCTGCTGCTGCTCCCGTTGGTGGCGGAGGAATGGACGCAGCTGGCATGGATCCAAATTCCATGTATATGATGTTCCAACAGGTGAAGCATGGAAATTTCATCTTGATGACCATAATCGAATTGTGCAGATGTATGGTATGGGTGGAGACGGCGCTGGTGCAGGTGGCGCAGGACCTGCAATGGGCGGGATGGATAATATGGGCGGAATGGGAATGGGCGGAATGGGAGGTGGCTCCATGGATCTTCCCTATGCAGGTGGATATGAGAGAAATAGAAGAAGAATCAATGTGAGATGCTTTTCAGGAGGAGGTGGAGGCCGCTTTCACGACCGCTCAGACCGTGGAGGAAGGGACAGGTTTGTGACAGCCAAATTTCTGTCTATGCTCGCTCACTGCTTCTTGAAGGTTCCATCCCTACGGTCGTTGAAAGCTTCCCTTCTTCGAACCCAGTGCGTTGGTCTTGTAAACCTAAGACCTACCGAATGTCTGCACGTTGGATGTCATTTGATGATGTCAATGCTGGATGAATGAGCACTTGACTGCAACTTCAAGTATTCTCTGGATAAATTTTATATAATACAAAAATTACACGGAAACGAAAGACTCCGCGCTCGGATAGGTGACAAGCGCTTTGCAATACGACATAATATCCTTCCGAGTTACGCAACAAACAAGCAACCCTAGCACAACCAACAGAAACAAAAGATCTCTAAGCACTTAAGAGGAGTCTTCGTCAAAGAAGTCAAACCCATCTATCTCCAGTTCAGATGACGAATACGACAATCTTGGGCTTCCATCAGGGGACCATTCGACACCCGACTTCATGTGATCATAAAGCGCTTGATCCATGGCATCTTCAGTGGGATCGAACGAGGGATCCTTCACAGACATTGGCAAGTTGTACATTTCATCTCCAGGGCGCCCCCAATTACCCTTCCCAGATCCATGCTTCTTCGCAAACGTCTTCGTGAAGATTTGTCCTACACGAAACAAGTCAACATCGTGATTGCTGCAACGAGTAAGTTCTTTCAATACCTCCAAAGCCATCTCTCCGGTCGCAGCAGCAGTTCTTCCTGGTGGGACGGTTGCCAGTGAATTGTTTCGAACGTGTCATGTCTCTTAGAAATGGAGGAGAAGCTCTCGGAGGACTGCTGCTCTCGTGGCCGTGGCAGGAGCGGGAGCACTGGAATGCTAGAGCAGGGAACCCTTATAAAAGTAAATTTAGGAAGCACCCCTACTCTCTGTTTGCCCCCAGCGTGGTGTAGGTGAGATACAGAAATGGGAGTACGGGGTAGTATTACCAAGATGACAGAAAGAAAGAACAGTAGACAAAAAGGTCTCTAAATGACAACCCCCATTCCGACACCACCCTCTGTTTTATTATGATATGTGACATTCAAAATCGTCGAGGTAGAGACATTCCCCTGCACATTTTTTTCTAATGCATTTCGTAGGTAAGAGCATTGTACTCTAAGGAGGTGGGGGTAGAAGGACCCATCGTGTTTAGAAGGTGGGTCCAATTGGGTCGAAAGAAGGGTGGGTTTGTTGATGTTGACAGGAGAGACTAGGGGGGTGGGGGTGGGTCTGTTCGAGAGAGTTCTTCCGTTCCTCTGCCAGCAAGAAAATCGAAAAAGAAACTTTTCGAGGATCCAACAATAAGACCAGATACCGTTCTCACCCCACCCTCACCAATACCAAAGAACACGAAATAAGTAAACGTTTAGTATTATAATCTTGTACCACTGACGTACTTTTGAAAAAGTACACCCCATCCCCCACGCGAGGAAATTCGACCCACCCTGAACACGTTAAAGCTTCCCAACTCCTGCCCCTTTTTAAAATAGTATTTTTGAATGATCCTCTGCCAGTAAAGAAACTCTACCAAGATCACACTATGGTACAAGGAATTGGGATTGTACCCTGCTTTTACAATATTTTTCAACGTTATACTAGGTACTGATATACAATCGTGGTAATGAATGTTAGTACTTGTACCTCCCGTTGGTAGAACGTGGTTGCCGTTGCAGCTCGAAGCGATGCCTTTCGTCGGGCTCCTACCCTCAGGAGGTCGCATCTCTCCGGTAGCAGAGCTACGGTTTCAGTACCGCCAGACACCACAAAACACTTGTAATTTGAAAATAATGTAGTTTTTAGCTGCTTGTACAAACTTACACGAAGTCCGTACTGTCAGAAAATGATAAAAGGTTAATTTTAGGCTGGGATCTTGACTTCACGTTAATCTCATAGTACAAGAATTTGGTATTGTTTGTGAAACGATATATGTTTGTTTTTTTAAAATAATATAAATGTAATTTTTGATTTATTCTCAGGTTGATGGTAACCCACAAGGGGGGGCGTTGCCGAGTCGGTACAATTTTAAATACATGTATACACGCTGGATAAAATAGGAGGGTTCGTGGTACAGAGGGGGTCATTAAATTGGTGGTGATTAGCCTCCGAGGTGGGTGGGGGGGTTAAATTATCGAAGCTGTACCCCATACTTTCTCGGGTAATACTGGTAAAATTAGGGGGTACTATCAGCTGAAGAGGTTGATCGAAAAGTTCACTTTGTTGCATGGTGGGGTGGTATCATGAGGGTAGGGTGGGGAAGTACTGTTTATAAAGGGTAGTTGGGGCGGAAGCAAAGGAATAAAGTTCGGACACGAAAGGAAGGAGAACGTAATCTAACGAACAAAGAGCGTGAACCGCGTCTTGCTGTTGGACAGATTGGGAGAAACAAAGAAAGACATTCCTATTGAGGACCACATCGTTTGAAGAAACAAGCTGAAAAGAAGATGACCAGATCGAAGTCGATGACTGTATTGGGCAACCGCAATACCAGAAAGAACATGCACACTGATCGCATGTCTGGAGGTGAGATGAATTAATCCATTGGTCCATTTGTCCTCTGATCTTACAGCAGCTGCATACTACTCTACCACCAAGAAGCATGGTGCTGGCAAGGGCAACTGGGGTCGTCCTGGTGACGAACTCTCTGTGCCGTCAATCGACGAGCAGGACCCCGCATACGACAGGTAAGAAAGCACTTTATCGCTCTTCTTGTAGAATCTCACATCTGTTTGATTTTCAGTGCGGACGAGCTGTTCCAGAAGGCCTTTGGTACCTCACCACCTTCGACTTCTTCGTTCGACTGGTCTGCAGTTCAGGACCTTTCAGACGAGGATCAGATGGCAATGAACGAGATCGAAGATGCCATGCGCGAGGAGTGGATGAGGAACTACGAGAAGGAGGCGGAGGATATCTCCGATGAGGCTGAGGAGTTCTTTGGACAATAATTGATGCTTTGGTTGATTTTTGTACGTACGAAGAACTTGGGGCAATGGACAGCAGAGGAGCTGAGCCGCGAGTTTCTGTTTTAGTAGTGTGAAATAGAAAAAGGAAAAAAGAAATTTTGAACAGAGCAAGTTTTATTCTTGAAAAGTGAAATAAAAAAAACCGGTAAACAAAGTTCCTCGTATCTCGTTCATTGGCTTTCCTCATCATCTTCCAATCCGACCTTCAAAGAGCTCCTTGACCCTCGCATGATTCTGTCTATCTCGGACACCTCCACTTCATCTTCACTTCCTTCCTCCTCTCCTTCTTTTTCCTCTCCATCATATGACTCCTCCATCTCCTCGTCCTCGTCCTCGTCCTCGTCCTCGTCTTCCGATTTCTGTATCTGGGTCAAACGGCACAACAATGGGAAATCGCTCACCTTGTTCCCTTTCTTCTGCCTGCTGGCCTTCTGGAGCAGCATGAAGGTCAGACAAGTTGGCTGGACCGAGGAAGGAGCGCAACTCACCGGCTTGCCGTACATGGGGTCTGGCCAGAAGGTTCTGTTTACCTGCAGAGCGATCAGAAGATGCTTGATACTTTCCACACCCAACCTTGGTGACGAGGTCGCCTCGGGCATCGACGACTCCTGCACTCTCCAGCCATCTCCTGTCAGCGTCGGACTGAGGTGTGTTGAAATCCGTTATCTGAAAGAGCTGGAGACAGCATGTGAGTTCCCAGACCGCACCTCGGCCAAGTCACGTTCGACCTCCTCTAGGCTGAGTGCCTTCCCGTTGTAGGATTCGAAGGCCGCGCTTTCCACCCATTCCCTCCAGGCCTTAGGATCAGCGAGCGGGTGTTGATCGCTCGTGACTGGAAGAGGAGGATAAGAGCGGGAGGCAAGCATGGTGGAGATGGACCGTTCTGCTGATTCTCGCGCATCTCTTTGAGGTGGTAGATTAAATCCTTCCGACCATCATGTCAAGACCAAGAAGTCAGTCCCTCCTCCACCTTCCACCTTCTCGTTCGGATCGTCCCATATCGCTGAGAGCGGAACTTGGTCCACTGGGACATTCGATAGATTGGACATGTCCATAGGCTGCAAAGAAGTAGCAGGTAAAAGTCAGAAAACAAGCTTGATGGACGAGCAGGAGCAGGAGCAGGAGCAGGAGCAGGAGCAGGAGCAGGAGCAGGAGCAGGAGCAGGATCAAGGTCAGGATGAAGAGCAGGATCAGGATCAGGATCAGGATCAGGATCAGGAAATAGCCAGGAAGAAAGAGAAGAAAGCGAGCGTCCAATGGAATGGAGAGGCAGAGGCAGGGGAGCGCACCGGAGGACGATATTTCTCCTCCGAATCGTAAGCGACACGAAGTTTCGTCAGCAGCGAGTCCTTATGCCGCCTGCATCGAGCCATCATGGTCGTCAAAATTTCTGCTCCACACTCACTCCAACAGATCTCGAGTTTGGGGAGGCCCGCCCTTGATGAATCTTTCCTGCATCATCGCTTCACTTCTCAGTGATCCTGCAGAAGAAGCGAACGGACCGCAGCAAACATCAGAAGATCCATGATTGGCTCCAATCGAGTTTCGGCCTGATAAAGAGGGTGAGCGAGGGAGGGAGCGTGGAGGGTAATGAACAGATGGATGCTGAGGAATGCAAGTCGAAGAGCGAGAGGAGAGACGCGAAGACAAGCCATGTACCTCCTTCAGCATCCTTCCGAAGATTTTGAGACCCTCTGGGTGAGTCCAGTCGGTCTGGTCGCAGATGATGGAGTACTGCAGCAATCTCAAGGTCTGAGATCTGAATAATCGCCACTGCTACCTGGATGTGACGGAAGACGAGGCGAACCAACATGGCGGGATAACTTGTAGGAGGAGAAGAATTTAGCGATGATGAAAGTAAATGAAGAAAGAAAAGAGGGAAAAGGAGAGAGGGACAAAGATGAGAGAAACAGAGAAATCAGAGAATGGAAAATTGTCGAGGCATCATACAGATCTCCCAAGAGCTGGACCACATTGTACATCGATCCTCCTTCCCGAGCGAAGCCTGGTTGACCACAGTCATCGGTGGTAGACGTCGGACGTCGAGAAAAGCACCTGGATGCACCGCTTCCAAGTCGTTCACAGCAGGCTGCGAAGAGAAAGGTGAAGAGAGGAGGACAGTGAGTTCAGCCGAACCTGCATCACATCAAGGACGGATCCCTCCAACAATCGGGCGACTTCCGCCTTCTGAGGATCCAACCTGTCGTCGAAGATCAGAGCTCGAGAGAACAGAGAAAAAGTCAATCACTTGTTCTTTGAGACGAGCATATCGATGTCTTCCGCAGTGACATACGTGCGAGACTCTTCGTACTTGTTGAAACGTCAACAGATCTGCGTCGCGAACATAAACTTGACTGACATTCTTCATGTCGATTCCTTCTACATGCAGTTTCTCCATATCAGCCATGGGTCTTTTTGCCAACTAAAGGAAGACATCAGATCGTTTCAGAAGAGGAAAAACCAATGTTTAGGAAAACAATAATCACAGTGTTTTGTCAACGAGATTTGCAGTTTTGTCAACGAGATTTGCAAAATCACGAAGTGTTTGGCGTGAGAGCTATCAAGAAGGATGATATCTGTAAGTAAATAAAATTTCTGTACCTCTGCATGGAGTTCCAATGCTTTCTCATACACTAATGATACAATGGGTCATTGAATTCGGAGGAGGACGAGGAATTTCAAAGTTACACGCGTAGATGGGAATCGTCAATGGAGGACTGGCCAATTCTCCTGTGCCAGACAAACAATCACGACCAATATGATCACACCTAGCGTGAGAACACACCCGGAATGTTCATCATTGCCTTTGATGATCCTTTCTATGATACAAACCGTCAACAACAGGCTAGAGCATGTGAAGAAGTTGAAATCGTAGCAAGACCAAACTTTCAGAGTTCCAACCGTGGAACCAACTCACCTCCGCAGCCTCTTGCTGATAGTTGACGATCCTTTCGACCTGTACACAGATCATCTTCAAATTTGATGGAGCAAGACTGCAACAATCTGACCTCACGCTGGAGTTCTTCTTCTGTCGCGTCTTTGTTTGCCATCTCCACTCTTGCTCTATCAGCCCAGCGTGCAAGGTAAGCAAGTGGAAGCATTCATGATCGATCGATCTTCTCGCTGACCTGATCAGTTCGAGTTGCTCATCATCGTTTTGAGCCATGAACAATTCCTGATCGATTTCTTTAACGCGTCTTCCACGTCATAATATCAGAAACCTCTAGTTCATCAGACGTCAGCTCCTACAACACACGCTTCAGAACACTCGCAACAAAAATGATCGAAAAGAAGATTAGTGTCACCTTGTTGTAATCTACAAACTTGTCCTCCGTAATATATTCGGAATTTTCATAATCCATTTGACCTTCTTCGTCATCTCCTCCATCATCCGTGTTCTCGTTGCTATTTCCATCTTCCTCCTCAGTCTCTTCACCAGTAGTTTCCTCCTCCTCCTCCTCCTCCTCCTCCTCCTCGACATCTTCATCTCCCCCCTCATCTCCCCCCTCATCTTCCTCCGCATCTTCCTCATCTTCCTCATCTTCCTCCTCCTCCTCCACGTCTTCCTCGTCGTCGCTACCTATTTGGTTGTCATCGTTCAAATCTTTTTTTCCATTTTCATCGTAATCAGAGGATTTCTGTCTCAGAGAGAACAGTTCCCATGGTCTCATCACGAAGCTAAGAAATTTTCCAACATTTTCCTGCGGCTTGCACTTTCTCAAACCAGCACAAATCTTCTGCTTGCAGACAGGATTCCGAGTTCCACCCATTCCCCACCGTTTCCGAGGCAAACAAAATCTGTTGGAGGGAGAGAACGCCAGCAAGGTTGCCGATCGCCCACTCCATTCTCCCGACTTCATCACCTCTTGTTCTCCTGGTGTAAAAGTTCTGACTGCCACCATCTCACCCATACCTCGGTCCCATGGCAGGCCGAGCCGCGGGTAGGATCTGGCCTCGGCGCTCCTGAGCATGGTCGGCTTTGTTCCTCTCAGATCGAAGTTGAACCTTCTTGATCCTCCTTTATCCTCCAAGTCCAGTCGTTCAGAATTCCCCATGCTTACCGCCATGAGCGCGACGGCCATGGCCAAACACCGAGCCGTCGCCACCATATCCCGATGCGTCTCGAGATGAAATGGGTTGAGCTAAGATAGATATACCGAGCTAAATCGATAAAACATTGGAACTTTAGAACCTTTTCAATGGGAACTTCTTCAATGTGAAACTTTCAACTTTGAAACTTTGTGATAGTTCTGAGCGGGGATGAGGTTATTCTGCGAGGGGTCATTGGGAAATGAGCACTGCGGTGGTTCAGGTAAGACAAGAGGGGAGGGAGGAGAGCGGAGGAAAGGAAATGGAGAAGGAGAAGGAGAAGGAGAAGGAGAAGACAGAAGAGGAAGGACGAGATGAGGCGAGGAGAGATAAGAGAGTGGTTGTAAGAGATGACGTTGGTGACGAAAACAACAAGCAAGACAAACGATGAGGAGAATGCTTACTGAACTCAGGTACCGCGTGGTACAGCAGGACATGGGTTCACTGGGGAAAGGCTGAATAGTTGAGGTCAGGGCAGTCATTTAAACATTCGAAAGCTGCGGTGTGTGAGCACGAGGCAGTTCTCTGGGAGGAGCGATGCAGTGTAGCAATTTAGCAGAGAGAGAGGAAGGAGTTGATGCAATGATTGAAACCAACTTACATGGACATGCTGGACAGGAGGAGAGGAAGTTCCTCCTGACTGGAGCGAGGAATGACAATGCAGCGCTACTGACAAGCAAGGGTTATGGGTCCATCTCACAGACGAGCCCTCGCATCTGCTTCGTCTTCAACGATTCGTATCTCGGGGGACAGCGATCAGCTTGGTTGTCCAAGGTCAGAGCCGCGGGGTTCTGTGTCGAGCAGACGTCGGCGAACCTTGTGGCGATCGCTGCTCCCGATGAGATGCTGCAATCTCTTGCCATACAAAGAGGATCCCACGGCCAACACACGATGCCAGCCACCCCTGAACGATCGCTACACGTCCTCCTCTCCGAGTTTGATCCGTCCCTTGCCGCTTTTCTGGAAGTTCCTGGCCCTTTCTCCAACAGGAGCAGGAAACCAAGGCTATCGGAGGAGGTGAGTGGGAGGAGAGAAGTTGGATCTCTGTTGCGACTTGAGTGTGAGTTGATCGTTATCATGCAGTTGGAAGCTTCTGGCCTGATCGGATGGTTTTGGTTGCATAACGTGGAGTCTGCTGCTACCATCGCTCCCAAGTACGTCTGGTCGGGATGCTTCGGCCTCTCTCGGGAGCCGTTGGGAAAAGTGCGCGATTACTTTGGGACTGAAATCTCGTGGAACTTGCTCTACATGAACTTCGTAGCGCGATGGATGGTGATACCTGCAATGGGAAGCGCAGCCTACAGCTATGTGAGGAGGAGCGACGTGTAATGCCTGCCTGACATGGTGCTCAGGTGACAGTCTTAGCCTTCATGTCGACTGGAAGCGTCGACAACCCTTTCCTCCCCTTGTTCAGCGTCGGGCTGGTCTTGTGGGGAATGGTCATGCTCTTCTTCTGGGGGCGGCTGGAGAGAAGATACCAGGAGAAGTGGAGGTAAGAAACGTTCACTCAGTCAAGGAGAACCAACAACTTGAGCAGGGAGGATGTAAATATTTCAGGGCGAGATGACGTCAACACAGACGCCGTCCTCGAGTGAGCGCTTGCTGCCATTGCGATTTCGAGACGTGCTGAGCGCTGAGCAGGACAAAAGTAGACGATGAGACGGGGGAAGTGAAGTTATATTACCCTGAGTGGCGGCACAAGGCGAAGCAGTTTGCAGCCTCGACACTGATGGCTGTAAGATGACGTGGCTGACGGGGAGATAAGCTGATATCCAGCTGCAGCCCTGCCTTGTGCTCGTGCTGGGAGCAGGGCTCCTGTCCCTCGACTTCCGGGCACGGATCATCAATCTCGACCCGAAGCTCATCGATGGGATCTCGGTCGGAGGGATGCTGGGGGGGGTTGCGACGGCTGCGATCATCTTCATTGCTACGAGAGTGGTGTGCTACCACTGGTGTGCCGTCCTCACGAACTGGGAGAACTACACGAAGAGGAGCGGATACATCTACAGTCTCGGGGCGAAGTGTTTCCTCATCGATCTGGTGACAAACTTGCCTGTTCTGAGGTTCAGCGCTGACTGGGACTGGTCAGGTCGCCCACTCGTTCCCTCTCATCTACCTGGCCCTCCTGGACTTCCCCATCCTCTCTCGCTTCGCTCCAGCATCTAAGGCATCGATCATGGACTCCTTGACTGTGCAGGCTGTCACTGTCTTCACTGCATGGCAAGTTTGCTCACATGCGCGCTCTCTCTCTCTCTGACTCTCTCTGACTCTTCCTCCAGGTGGGTGTGTACATCCGTCTTCTCCTACTTCGAGGCTTATCTCCTCCAGCGCCGGGCAGATGCCGAAGTGGTGAGCAGCGTCAGCAGCAGGAGTTTGCGTTCAACTTAGACCCTCCTCCTACAGGACCGGGTGGGGAACAAGCCAGATCTGTCCCACGAGGAGCAGTACCAACGGCCCACCTATCAAGGCAGAATTTTCTCCTCTTGCCCTCCGGCCCTTACGTGCTGCTCGTTAGGTCACCTCACGACTAACTCCTGGATGTCCGTCCAGCTGATCTACAGTTTTGTCTTCGCCGCCATCTGCCCTGTCGCTCCTCTCCTCCTGTATATTTGGGTTCTTCATCGCCTCAACTGGGATCGCAGCGCCCTGCTCTATGTGTACAAGGTCTGATCCTCCTCTTCCTTATCCGCCCTATCACGCTGATGTCCTCTCCTCCTCCCTTCTCATGGATCCTCTCCCATCTCCCTCCCCTCCTCGTGCTCATGATGATTCCGCAGCGTCCCCATCCTCACCCTTCCCCCGGCGGCAACTTTTGGATGCGATCTATCTTCTTCATCATGCTCCTGGGTCTCGCGGTTCAGATCCCCCTCATCCTCTTCTGCAGCAAGGCTCTCACCTTCTGGCTGCCGAGCATCACGCTCGAGGATCGCTGGGGCATCTTCATCCTCCTAGAGATCCTCGTGTTGGTCCTGTCCTCTTACGTCCTGTCCAAGGAGTTCCGAGGGGAGGATGCGGAGGGGAAGTGAGAGCATGTGGGATAGGAAAAGGCAAGGGAACGAAAGTGCATGAAGAATATTTACACACTCGCTGCTTCTTACTTCTTGCTCAACAAGCTGTCGCCATGACTGATATGGCGGTGCAAGATATCGTGAACCCCGTGGATCCGAACGATCAACACGTTCCCCTCGCTGTCTCCGCACATGCAGATCGCCCGCTCCTGGTCGACCACAGAGCTCATGGACGTGAAGGCAAAGGGCCAAGGAAGGGCCCCCAGCGGCTGCCCGCTCCTGCAGTCGAAGATCCGCACGCTGCCGTCGTTGCTAGCGGACAGCGCGTACGACCCGAACCTTGACAGCTGCAGGCTCCTGATCTCGGCGTCATGGCCGACCAGGTCGAGCGGCGGCGCCTCGTACGCCTTCATGTCCCACATGTGCATCGCGCCCTCGTAGCCCGAGCACAGGAGGAAGCCTGCCTCGGAGATGGCGCAAGTCAGCAGCGCAGACTTGGCCTTGAGGATGTGGAGACACTCTCCCTTCTTCGCCGTCCAGACCCTCACCGTCCTGTCCCCGGACACAGAGATCGCTCTCTTGTTGTCCGGGCTGAAGCCGCAGGCGTACACGTAGGCTCCGTGCTTCCCCTGCCACTGCTCCTTGCCTGACTTGGCGTTCCACACCCTGACGGTCTTGTCGGTGGAGGAGGTCACGTAAAGGTTCATGCTGGGGCTGACCTCGGCGTCCAGCACGGACCCCTCGTGCCCCTGCAGGCTCATCTCCTGCGAGATCGAGTCAAGGCTCCACACCTTAGCGAGGTGGTCGAGGGAGCCAGTGATGAAACGCTTCCCGTCCCTTGCGAACTTCAGCGCCCGGATGCAGAGGTCGTGGTAGCCTATCTCCATCGAGCACGAGCCGCTCCCTGACGACAGCATCTCCGGGATCTTGAAGACTCGGATCACCCCGTCGTCGCAGGCAGCAACAAACACATCGTCAGAGTGGGGAGGGAAGCATGCTACGCGGCAGACATGCGCGCAATCGCATCTCATCACCATCTCCGCCTTGTTAGTGTCCCATAGGCACAGCTTCCCGTCCTCGCTGCTCGACACCCCGTAGGTGCCCGAGGGCGACAACGCCATGCTCTGGATCCAAACAGGGTTCTCGTTGATCTCCTTGCCGTTGATGTTCTCTTCGTCCTCGTCCTCGTCAGGCTCAGCCTCGTGCTCGTAGCCCTCCTCCCCCTCAGGGACCTTCCTCTCCCTCTCGTGCGCCATCTGGATCGAGATCGCCTTGATGTTCCACAGCTTCGTGATCTTGTCGGCGCTAGAGGTCACCAGCCAAGCTCCATCCTTTGACGTCGACGTCTTGAACACGATGCCCGAGTGCGCCGCGATGCTCAAGGCTGGGGAGGGAGCATCGTCATCGACGGACCAGAAGGAGAGGGCTCCTCCTTCGCTCGCCATGCACATCAGGCTGTCCTGTAGCATCAGGCTGCAAGAGAAGCACGACCCGCTGCCAGTCTTGAACTCTCGCACCAGACCTCCGTCCTCTGTCTTGTCCGTCGACCAGATGGAGCAGGTGGCAAAGGCGGAGGCAGTGATGAGCCTGTCGCCGTCCTGGAAGAAGTGAACGTCCAAGACCTTGCCTCTGTGCTGGAAGTCCTGCAGCACCGACTTGCTCTCCAGGTCCCACACCTTGCAGGTCTTGTCCAGAGAGGCGCTGGCGAGCCTCAGCCCGTCGGGCGAGAAGTCGCAGGCTCTGACGGGTCCCTCGTGCCCCTTTAGCACGTGCAGGGTCGTCGCCTCCTCGTTCCAGAGGTGAATCTGCATGTCCTCGGCCCCCGAGGCGAACGTCTTCTCATCGGGAGACACGGCAAGGGAGAGGACGGGAGACGAGTGACCCTTGTAGGTAGCGATGCACGACGTCGTCGGCTCGTCCCAGATCTTGGCGGTGTTGTCCGAGGCCGCTGAGAGGATGCGGGAGGAGGAGGACAGGAACCGGACGGCGTTGACGACACTCTTGTGAGCTTGAAAGGACATGACGCTCTCGCTCGTCTCCGAGTCCCAGATGTAGAGGTCCCCCGAGTCGCTTCCGTTGACGATCACCGAGCCATCGTCCGAGATGTGTGAGCAGCGGATGACGCTCCGACTTCCGACCAGCACGGAGCTCAGCGGCGAGATGGAGATGGGCTTGTTCAGGGCTTGCATCCAGACTCGAGCGTTGGACGAGCTCGAGAGGATCTTCCCTGCCTGGATCTCTGGCAGCGTGTTCTCGGGCTCGTTTGCCGCCATCTGGATCATCAGCCCCGGCTGTTCGATCATGCTGGAATGCTGCCCCAGAGCGTTGAGGGATCGGATGAAGAAGCGGTAGCAGGACTGCAGGTTCGAGTAGCTCACCTCCACACCGTCCACCGAGCTCACGAGGTCAGCAGGGACGGCCTTCATCCCCGTCGTGTACATGCGCTGCAGCTCTGCGCTCATTCCAGCTTCGCACATGGCCTGAATGAGCTCCAGGTCGCAGAGGCTGATGCAGACGTCTTCCCACAGCTCAGCGTTGATTTGATGATAGATCATGTTCCTCAATTTCCTGATGTTCTTCCTCCGACCCAGCAGGTCTGACTGGTGCTCTATCCTCTGGTTCCAGTAGAACTTCGCCAGCATGCGGTTCCACTCCTGGATCCGCTCTTGGAACCCGGGCACGTTCAGGATGATGCTGCGGTACGATTCATGCCGGATGCTGAAGACAGTCCGGTAGTCTCGCTCTCGAGTCACTATGTAGGGGGTCAGGCGGTGGATCATACGGTTGAACATGCGGTAGGGGAACGACTTGCTGTGCTTGCCCTCCCCCTCCATGAAGAGAAGCTGCAGCAGCTCGTACTCCGACAGCCCGTTCCTCGCCACGCACAGCAGCCCCAGACACTCGTAGACCAGCACCCCAGGCGTCGTCGTGATGTCCATCAGCTTGTCGGGGAAGGCGAAGGAGGAGACGTTGTTAGTCGCTTCATCGAAGCAGAACCGCAGGTACGACCGGAACGCACACGCATCTGTCGCCATGCTCTTGGCGTTTTCCAGCACCGCAGCCTTTTGCTCGGGCTGGAGCCCCTGCTTGTAGTTGTCGAGCCAGTGATCGATGATCTCTCCGTACTCCCCGGGGTCCAAGTTGGACACGGTCTTGATGTTCTGCTTGGAGAACTTGGAGATCGCCTGAGGATCGTCTTCTAGCGCGCTGGCAACCACATACACGTTGTTGGGGAGGGTCGCGGGCAACCACGAGAGCCGTCGGGCGTGATCGGTGCGAGGAAGCTCATTCAGCCCGTCGAGGAAGATGATGACAGGCTTCTTGTTGCTGAGCACCCGCAGCAGCTCCGGGAACTCCACCAGCAGAGTGTTGTAGGACGCGGGACGCGGACCTGTTCGCTCCTGTCCCAGGACCCTGGCGAGCTCCTCGCAGAGAGTCTCCAGCAGAAGCCTTCCGTCTCGAGTGAAGGGGGTGGCTCCGACACAGCGATAGATGAGGACGCAGTGACCTGCTTCCTTGGAGTAGGAGAACTTCTCCGCGCATGCAGCTAGAAGCGATGACTTGCCCGTCCCTGTCATTCCAGTGACTACGAGAGGGCAATTTGGAACAGCCTGTTTCTCAGCTTCCTCCTTTGCTTTCCTCTTTGACTTGACGTCGGTCATGCTCGATGCCTTGTGCAGGATGGTGGCTCGAGAAGGAGAGCCTCGGATGTAGTCCATAATGTCATGAGCCAGCTGATTCGATTCCCACCTGAAAATGTTCGCTGCATTTCGCTTCAGGAGGTCGGTATGAGCTTCTAACTCCATGTCTATCATCGATGCCGACGGCTTCTTCATCATCTCAAGCATCTGCGATGAAAGACACTCGTAGACCTGATGTGAAAACAAGTTGAGATAATCCTGATCCAAGATTTCAATGGTGGCTTTCTGATTGAAGGTAGACACGCTGTGCAACTTCAGCAGGTTTGAATCATACGTCAGTCGATATTGGTACACTTGATCTTCATGAAAACGTTCCACCACGTTCTCTTTGAAGTTTGTCTGACGTTCGATTATTTGCAGGGTTTCATCATCTGTCTTGTTGGGCATGATGCTGTGATACTTGTCGAGGGCCATGGAGTCAACATTCCTGATGAAGATGTAAGTCCGTTTCGCCTGGTCCAGCTCTAAACCCAGAGAGATGCACTTGGTCAGTTCTTGCTCGTTGAGGCTCTTTGATATCTTTGCTCGTACTCTTGCAAAGGAGCTGTGAATTTGTTTATCCTCTCCCTCCTGCTCTGCAAACGCCCTGAGAATCATAGAAACCTCCTCCTCGCTCCCGTTCTGCAGGACGTAAGTAGGCACGACAGCATTCTTGTCGAGCATGTAAAGTCTCTCGATGGCATCGGTGAGGCCTTTCTCATCGCTGGCAGCCTCAATGATCTTGGAGCTTGCTTTCAGCGTTTCAAACTCAGATTGTGAAAGCTCCGATGGCAGAACACACTCTCCGGGGAGGTCAGCGATCAGCCCAACAAAGATGTAGTTCTTGTCCGTCGCAACCTTTGACAACTCGTTCATAGCCTCGATTTGACTTGGCCCGGTCTGAGAAGCATCTTCCGATCCCCCTGGACTATAGCGCAGGTCGATCGGAAAGATTTCGGCACCAACGGTCTCAGCCAAAGCCATCAGCTTGGGAAAGACAACGTCATGCAGAACTTTCCTCTCCGAAAAATGCTGATGCATGCAAGAAGACACGTATACTCGAATCACCTTTGAATGCTTTGAGATGTGGCTGTTCTGCTGTCTGTTCGCATTTTCTCGCCTCCTCTTGCAAAGATAAGTTGCAAACTCTTCTACACTGATATTCCCATTTTGACTGAACTTGATACCACTCGGACCAAAAATCGCTTGGATTTCTTCGAAATCTACGTTGTTGAAATAGAGGCTCGCTTGGATCTCAGCCATTGTCAGCATTCCATCACCGTCAGTGTCGAACTGTCGAAACAACTCCTTCGCCTGTTGCATGATGTAAGGAGCTATTTGAGCAATCAAAATCTAGATCAGATGGACCTCTTTCAACTCCTTTGCCGAGGGCAGGAAGACGTCGATTTCTTCTACATTCATCTTGTTTGGTTTGTTCTGTTCGCTGCGCTCCTTCCTCGAGAAACTTTCTCGTTTTGGGAGGGAAGCGCTCTTCGAGGACCGCCCAGTGGGTGTGCTTGCGGTGGCCTTGGTTCCGAACATGGAGGGAGACGCCATCTGACCTGCTGTGACGGACAGAAGAGAGTTGTTCGCCGAGGTTGCTTGAATGGAAGATGCTTGCAAGGATTGAGATGCTGACCTTCGTCCTCGCAGACTTTCATCCACACTGTTGCTGGCTGAATGTGGCATACGCGATCGAGGTACCCTGTCAATTCCATCGTCATCCCTTGCATCTAGGTATTCCTCAATTGTTTACCCGGCATCGTCTACTGGAGCTATCCGGACAGTTGATCTTGTCGACTTTACATGATTGATGAGGAGCGATGGTGAATAGACTCTTTGCAGCGGAAGGAGAAACGGTGAAGGATCGGACGAAATCTTTTGTGCGGCGTTCAACAAAGGAAACTTCGGGCCTTTGGAACCTTGCAGGCAAAGTGAGAACGCAACAAGAGCATACAGCCAACCCTTCATGAGATTGCTCACCAGCATTCTCTCCGTCTGAATTCCCCGAGATCGATCCTCCCTTCCTGACATCGCTGGACTTGAGACTTCTCGACAAGGATGCCTCGACCACCTCGACGGTCAACCTCGGCTCAGTTGACTTGGATCTTGCGGGGATGAACTTTTTGGGCACGATGATCTTTCCTTCTGCTGACGTCGGACGGCTCCCAGGAGCTTCAAACTGCGTTCCGCTGTCCGCCCTACCCGCCATGACAGCCCGGGCCGGCCCTTTCCGAACAGTTACTACCCCACCCCCATCATTGCCCCCTACAACCCACTCCCGACACCGACAAGCATGGAGCTTCCAACCGCCAACGACGGGTTGAACCATTCTTCAAAAGTAACCAAGCAATTTCAAATGTAGACATTTAACTTTCAATTGTTGGCCAACGGTCGGACCGTCACACCGCCGGGTGACCGGCGCCGGTCATGATCCGATCACTGCTAGTGCGCGGCCCGGCCGCGGGCAGGCCGGGCCGCCGCCGGGGGCCCTGAGTCGGACTCCGGGGATGTGACTCGGGCCGGTGCGGCGGGGCCGGCGGCTTTGATCATCACTGAGTCAAGTCTGGTCAGTGAGTCGCCGGATGCTTTACTCAAAGTTAAGTTAAAAATCAGTACGACAGTGAACCCGTCGACCAGCGGGCCCGGCCCGCCCGGAAGTCACCGTGACACCTCCGAGCCCGAGCGGTACATTTTCAGTCTGGCAGACTCTCCTGGGCGTCGAGTCATGCGGCTGAATGGAATTTGCAGGTCGCTGGTTCTCCATGCGGGTGGTATGAGGAAATGATCTGAATGAGGGGGTGGGGGTACTCAGAAAACCATTTCAAGCCTAGCATCCGATAGAGAAGCTTTGGTGGTGGGGTCAGTAACATAGGGGTGGGGGTGGCACTATTTCAGGGAACAAAGATGAGCGCGCATCTCGACGAGGCAGCCGTGAGGGAGGCGACGATGATCAGGGAGATCCCAAGACCGGTGAGAGGAGGAGAGGAGGAGAGGAGGAGAGGAGGAGAGGAAAGAGCAGACGAGACTGTCGTGTGGGGAGGATAGCAGAACAAGACCCTGATTTATGCAGTTCGATGTGTGCTGCTGTGAATCGGGGAATCTATCTGTGCATTGGAGGCAGAGATTGGGGTGGATTCAAGCGTGCCTGTGCCTTGGCCTTGAGAAATAATCTTTATCGCACAGGATGGAAAGGGTGATATCAAGTTGTTTGTGACGTCCTCCAACAATGCTCCATTGTCTGGTCCCGGGTTTGGCTACAAGACAGTGAAATCCACGGGCGAGATTTACTTCTACTACGATTCCAACCGTTTCCCCGAGGGCCGGGAAAACGCACAGGTAGGATCTTCTTGATGCGAAGAGATGGGTATTGATCGAGCATCTGACATGCAATCACCTGCTACCTCGCTCAGGTTGCCTCTGCCATACAGAAGTTGATCGATGAGATGCCACGTCACCCGGAGAAATTTAGCAACTGTGAGGTAGCACATGTGCATCAGAGGTCCACATTGTTCTCATCCTCATGTGTTTGCCGGTCAGCCCATCACGAGCAATTTCGGAGCCGATGAGATAGCGAATCCGGACATGGCAACTCTGGAGAAACGACTGGAATCCTTCCGTGACTGGCCGAGAGCTGAGATGAATTTCAGGAAATTGGCTGAGGTATTCCTGATACTTGCTAATTCTGCATGTTCTAATGCTTGTCTTCAGTCAGGATTCTTCTACGCTCCAATACCAGGATGCACTGACAGGTGCATCTATTACGCTTCGGGCAATGCTCTTTTCAACTGGGACCCCAACGACGATCCCTGGACAGAATACAAGAAGTGGTACCCTAACTGTCCTTACGTCAAGAAGAAGGAGGCTGCTGCTAACAATGTGAGTTTTGGTTTTGGTTGCGTGTTTCTCGCCCCTATCTCTGCATCTCTTGTTTTGATTTTCTCATTCGCCCAGGGGAAAGGCGGCTCAGTGTTCAGCGGGTTGAAGAGCTTCTTCTCGGTCACACCGACCAAGGCCCAAGAGCAGCCCCCGGCACAACCTATAAATCTTTCCGAGAGATGGCCTCAACACATCAAAGATGCTGATCCCGCTGTGCGGTAGGAACAACCACCTGGACATGCTCGGAGCTGATTTCAGCGATTTAGGTGGCGCAAGGTTCTCGAATGGGAGATATCCAGAGAATCAAAAGACAGGAGGGGAGCAGTTCAACCCAGCACTGACCGAATTCTACAACATGTGATCAAGTTGATCGATAGGATCTTCTTTGAATGTGATTTCCCTAGGCTCATCGGCAGCAGGAGATTACCAACCAGTCGCTCGCGCAGTCGAAAAACAAACTTGCAGAGATCGAGTCAGAAGCGATTAAGGGGATCGGTCATAGCCCTTCCTCGGGTGACAAACAGGTTTCCTCTCGGACGATGACGAGAAGATTCAGTGCATCTCACTCTGACGCATCGGCAGACCATTGAGGGCGCGACCGGGGGGACTGATGAAGACAGCAGATCAGTCGCTTCTTCTCCCAGCGTCACTTCTGCATCTCTTAGTGAAGCTGTCGAGGTCTATTGTCGATCCTGCACGGCACTGGAGTTGACATCAGGCCGATAGGGATGGAATTTGAGGGCGGAAAAGGAAGAATGGGTCCGGGAAAAGGCTGTCTTTGTTGCCGTCAGGTCGAGGTGCGCCCGTGGTAGTTTTTTCCAGCCTCCCCCTGATGTAGAGCAGGATGGGAGAGGATCTTATCCAGCTTGAAGAGACGATACAGAAGAGGCGGAAGGCAACTCATGAAGCACGCCGCAGCGACGTGTGATGGTGATGGTTCGATGCAGGAGCTCTCGGAGGTGGAGCATCATCTCAAGGCTGCGATGGATCATTTCTTCGCCAAGAACTCGCAGATGCTCGATCTCGTGGATGAGAGGGTCGAGAAGCTGGCGAGCGGATACTCAAGAGTAGCAAAGCTCATTACCAAGAGTATGGACAATGCAATCATGCAGAAGGAGGCGGGGATAGAAGCCTTGAAGAGGTTGATGCCTCAGTCCGTCACCCACCCGCTGACCTTGACTTCCTGGCAGGCGTACTCAGCAGCAGATTGAGCAGAGGGAGAAGGCGGAGTTGGAGCTCCGAAAGCTTGCAGACAAACAGGATCAGGCAAGGGGATGTTAGTGTGCGCCGCAACATGACACGATTCCCGCTCGCAGGAGGAGCGTGAGCTCGAGATGATGCGGAACACGTTCAAGTCGAAGCAGCAAGAGCTTGTCGACATGAAGATGGGTCCTGCTCGCCTCCTTCCTGTCGCTGTCTCTGACACTGTGCATGCTGCTGCAGGCAAGATGTAAATAGTTGCCGATGGATGCTGGGACCTTCGATCTGCTCTGCTAACCACGGCCATTGCCACCTCATTCATTTTATTCTTAACCACGCATCACTTCTCTTGGAGGTGAACCTGTGGTGCATTCCCTACGTCGCCTTTCTCTAATTGTCCTCCTCTTTCATTCCATACGGATTTTTTGCAATACATTTTCGACCTCACTTCTTTCACGTTCCTGCCTTGCGTTGCCCTCTCCCGCCCCGCCCCCTTCTCTACCTGATCTTTTTTCTTCCCCTCTCCTTGGACGTCCCCTCTCCTCTCTCTCCCCCCTTCCTCATGCCTCCCCTCCGCCGCTCTCCCTCCCCTCGCCCATGACGTCGAACTCGCATCTTGAAAATCTTCACCTTTCCACAAACCACCACCCCTACCCCCTCCATCTACTTCTCGTACCCCTACCCATCTTCCCCCTTTTCCCATCGTCCCTACTCCCAGTGTACTCCCCGCGTCTCTATCCTCCCCCTCCTCCTTGCTTCCTTCAGAACCATTCAACCACTGAACCACTTGCTGCTCTACACCACCAGCTCCTCCATCTCTTGCTCGCTCCTTCCTAGTCCGTCTCTTGCCGTCCGCAAGGATCTCTTCATCCCCCCCTCCTCAATTTGCCCTGTGTGCTCCCTTATCTGTACCTGTACCTGTGCCTGCCCCTGCCCTGCTTGCCTTATCCATCCTCTCACCGTTCCCCCCCCTCGTTGACCTGACTGCCATCCCTATCGGAAACTTGTCCTCACTTTCCTGCAGGAGAAGTTTTCTTGATATGTTGAGAAGACCCGGCAAGGGAGCTTCTACACTCGCATCCATCCTTCTCCGTAGCCAGAACCGGGGTCACCTGTTGAGTTCAAAGCAGGACTTCACGGTCAATCAGATACGGGTTGCGTTGGCGGTAGCAAGTTTCCTCCTGCAATCGACGAAAGCGAACTGCTGGCAAGGCAGCAACGCGTTTGTTAAGAACATCGCGTTTGCAAACAGGTTCTCGATCAGTCAACCCTTTTCTCTCCTTAGGAAGGTGAGGGCATGCTCGCTGGAAGAGAGCAAGTTCTGCCTGACATAGTCACAGATCTCTCAGTTTCGATCGTCGGGGATGAGCAGTCGAGACACCAGCCCCCTCCATGCTCAGAAGGAGGCTTACGTTAATGCCGACCCAACAGGGGATTCATCCAAGACACAAGATGTTTTCAGGGGAGTGCTCCAGCTTCTCAACTACAAGCAGATGCTTGCCAGCCGAACGGAAGACATCGCCAGGAGAAGGCGAAAGAGCAGCGTCTCCTCCAGCGGGCCCGAGCACCTCATTGTGCTGGTGCATGGATTGGCAGGCACTGCAGGTGAACTTTGATCGAACTTGTCTCAGCAGCTACTCACACTCGTTGCGATTAAGATGACCTAGCATACCTGAAACGCTCTGTCGACTCACAAGATGGCACACTGAAGAACACGCTCGTCTACCTTGCTAAGTGCAATGAGGACAAAACAAGAGATGGGGTGGAGGCTGGTGGATGGCGGCTGGCCAAGGAGATTGTGGAGCTTGTAGAGGAGGTGCCATCGTTGCAGCGGATCTCCTTCGTAGGAAACAGCTTGGGCGGGCTGTACTCAAGGTACGCCATTGCCGTGCTGCACAGGGAGGGAGGAGGAGGGCGTCAGGAAGAGGATCTGGTCTGCGGCCTCAAGCCGGACACGTTCGTCACCACAGCCACTCCCCACCTGGGGGTTCGCAGGTTCACTTACCTTCCCATCCCCGACCAGCTGCATGGGCTGGCGCCAGTCTTCGTGGGTCGAACGGGCGACGATCTTTTCATGCTGGGGAAGGAGGGAGACGAGCCCCCCCTGCTGCTGCTGATGAGTACCTGCGAAGTCTTCCTCCGGGGCCTCCGAAGCTTCAGTCGGCGACGGGCCTACGCGAATCTGGAGGGAGACTTCCTGGTGCCCTTCGGAACGGCGGCTTTCATGGTGGAGGATGGACGAGCAGGCTGGGGGATCCTAGAGAAGGGGACCTCAGAGGACTTCGAGAAGAAGTCGAGGAGGATCCTCAACCAGTCGCAAGTTGTCTGCGAGATGATGGTAGATGCGCACGAGGAGCAGGTCAGCTCGGACAGAATCCGTTCGGCGAACGGCAAGTCAGACTCGGAGGCTCTCATGGTACGTGCTCCATGCCGTGGGATCATCCCTTGTGCTGACTGATCGACAGGCTACTGCCCTCAACAGCTGCGGGTGGTCCAAGGTGGGGGTACGATTCAGCAGCCCGCTCCCGCTCGCTCACAACAAGATCTGCGCGTTGGAGGGAGGAGGGCTGCTGCGAGCGCCTGTGCGGTGGATGTGGGAGGAGGGGAGGGGAGTAATGGACCATCTAGCGCGGTACCTGCTGAGGAGCGAACCATGAAGTCATCGAGCCTGGGGACTTCTAGCAAGGGGTAGGGTATTTGTATTTAAGGGGTAGGGTATATTTTCCCCTAAAGGAAACACTTCCAATTAGGTGGTAGTAAAAGGATATTTGTTGGGTGGGGTGATGTAAATGTGGGGTAGGGGTGATCGGCATGCAATGGTGGAATGATAGGGGTGGTTAAAATGGGTTGCGTCCAGTGATGGCGGCACGTTGGGCGATGGCGATGGCGGCGATGGCGGCGATGGCGACGACAAGAGGAGGAGGAGCAGCAGGAGGAGAGAGACTGCTGAAGGATAATCTCGTGTCAGGATCGAGTAGTCTCAGGATGCTGCTGATCGTCGATGGGATGAAGGCTCGTCTACGGGGAGGATACAACCCGTTCAAGGATGAAAGGAACCCTTACAGCGGGGAGGATTTCAGCACAGACTTGTCCTCCTCCAGTGTTGAGCCTGAAGTAAGTTCCTGTTCTCTTCCTCTTTGCAATTTATCCCCTCCCCCCCGTCCCTCTCTCTGCTCGTTCGAGCTCCTGCGAAAGCAATTAACAGTTGTGAAACAGTTTGCAGAACCTCTGAGGGATGACTTGTCGCGAGATGAAGCGATTGCCAAGTGAGACCTGCCAGTGTGTGCAGGAATGAGGATGATCGTGTTGCAGGTGGTGTCAAGAAGAGGAAGCAAGAGCAGCTGCCTTCGATCGGATCCCCCCGAACCCCATTGCTATTCCGAGATCAGGTAGTTCGTACGAGATGAGCAGCATGATGATGGTTCTTATGCAGATGAGAAGCTGACGGAAGAGATTCTGCGTCTCGTTCATTCCTACGCGAAGCATTCTCAACAGTGAGGTCCCTTGCTGAGCTCTTGGGGTTTTGATGGGAGGCAGGTTGTTAGAGAAAGTGAAAGGCATTCGGAGAGAGATGAAGAAATACAAGCCGATGGAGAAGAGAGACTGGGACGAGGGGAAAGTAGATCGCAACTACAAGAAATGGATGGCGTCGAGGGAGCTGCTGAAACGAGATCTCAACCCTATCCTCATTGAAAGGAACCCCAACGAGACAATCCTAGAAGCTCTCAAGGGAAACCTGACGGATCTGACCAAGAAGAATCACTTCTTTCAGAACATAAGGAGGTGAGGGTGAAGAGTTTGCTTGCTCTTGTTGCAGTGTCATGTTTCCTGCTGCTGGTTTCATCTCACTTGCTCCAGCATCAACAAACTTCTCCTCCAGGGTCAGATGAACGGCAGCTTCATAATGATCATGGCTGCTGACGTGATCCCATTCGACATTGTCGGCCACCTACCAGTTTGCTGCGAGGAAGCAGACATTCCATATGTGTTCGTTCCTCATCAGGTGAACTCTGCAGGATGATCTGAAGCACATCATTGATCCTGCTTGCATTCCCAGTATTACCTCGGCATTGCAGCCACGGTGCACGGAGGTTTCCCGTCGTCGTGTTCCGTTGTGATGCTGAGAAGGTAGGATGATTGAGATGATGGAGGTGATGGTGATGGAGATGGTGATGGAGATGGAGATGGAGATGGAGATGGTGATGGTGATGGTGATGGTGATGGTGAATGCTCGCCTTTATGATCTCTAGTTGTCTTGACGTGTCTCAGGGCTGAGGATAAAAAACTCTACAAGAAGTTCGACAGGTCAGGGCAAACTTGCGGTTTCTTGCTTTGATTGCGTTGCAGAGTTCATAAACAGGTCAAGGAGTTGGATATGACCAGCTCCTGGGCCAGTTGCAGAGAAGACGCATCAATATATTACAAGTACTATAGAGGATAGAACGCGGACATGTAAGAAGGTGGAGAGGGGAGAGGAGTAAAGACGGGGGGAGAACGGATGCAACGAAGGACGT